TCTTTTTTGTTTTTTCAGTATTTATTTTTCCTTTTGGTAATGAATATGTATAATGACTCTAAGCCACTCTATAATGTTATTTTAATGAAATGTGCCTTTGAACTTATGATCTGTACAAAACATAAACTCATAAGATAAAGAACATCTCTCTCCAATCACTTTTTCATCCAGGAAACAAAGGAAATGTTTGGGGGCAACGGTACCATAGCAACATCTATCATTCACTCTTGTCCATTTCAGTTCCCTATGTTCTGCCATAGTGTACGGAAAATACACAAAGATACTTTTTGTTGAGTACTTATTTCATGTCAATTTCCAATTGTCTATGTTTCATTATACATAGCAATAAACTACATCACAACCATGCACTATGGGGAAAATCTTTATGGAGTACAGAAGCATTTCAAACGGGTGGAAAAGGTGAGGTACATTTATCAACCATTTGCAGTTTTGCAGCAAGGTTTTGGTCCAGCACAGTTTTAAACTATCAAGGAAAAAAAAATCTCATTCTTACAAATGAATGCTGCATAAAGCAATGAGTTCGCAGGATTAAATGGCCAAATAGCAGTTATCCGTTCCCTTGGCAATGATGATTTTCAACAGCTATGTTTACCAGGTTACCATAGCAAAATAAGAATATTATAAGCTTGCCCTGGAGATCTGATTTTGTTTCATTAGTCTAAATGAGGTGCTGACATTCATGAACATAGCAAACATAAGTTGACCAGACTTTCTAGAGCAAAACCCATGACAAATTAATTCATATACAGTAGATGAACATTTTATAATATTTGCCAAATACATTGGAAAATAATACAATAACACAACCCTCCACCCATAAGATTGGAGGTTAATGTTTGTAAGTACCTTCTAATGAAACAGCTTTCAGGAATTCCAAATAGTTTATATTCCCTGTTTATGCAAAAGGATGTCCAGATCAAACCAAGTTCATGGATGAAAAACAAGGAATTGAACTTTCTAGTTTTCAGTGGGAAAATGAAGTAAATTTTCTCTTCTATCACTATATTTTATTCCAGGAAATATCTCTAAACTTCATGAAAAAAAATCCATGCATTCAATTTCAAGAAAACTTAAAGTCCTCATTTAGCAACCACATTTGGGACTGGCAATTCAGTCACTAAATGAAGCAGTTGCTAAGTGAAACTGTGACTGGGCTTATAATTTTACTTCAGCTTTATTTTACAGATGTACAAAGGTCATAAATGCAAAACTGGTTGCATAGATACTTTTTTCATCCCTATTGTTAACTGCAAACAGGCATTAAATCAGACAATCACTAAACAAGAACAATCTGTACCTAATTTTTTTTAAATAACTCTTTCTTTCCATGCCAGTTTTGCCTCAAGTCCTTGACTTAGGCAGACCTTCCCAAACCTTTTTCTTAATTTAAAACTATTTATCAGTAAGCCCTTTTAACCTAAGCTAAAGCACTTAAGTCAAAATATACCTGTTGTGACTGGGTAATGGTTTGTGTTTTGCTACCCAACCCCCCCAAAAAACCCACTATATCTTGCTGTCATAATAGTGATGGTTTAGAATTTTGCAGCTGAACTGTAGCCAATCCATGCTCAAGTCCCAATGTAGGTGGAAAGGGACAAACATGGAAATTACTAGCTTCCCATCTCCCCACTGCTTGTGTAAGGGGAAGGATGCTTCAATTGCTCACATTGTTCCTATCACGTAAGGCTCCTGAAAACCCAAGCATCCAGGACTTAGCCAAAAAACTAGATAAAACCTGCAAATATCCTCAGTTCTGTGCTATGCTACTACTACTACTACTACTACTACTACAACTACTACTACGCAGCATAGTTTGAATTAGAACAAGAGAAAGCAGAGGCAGGAAACAAAGTTTGCAACACTATCAGTTCCAAAGGTTATGATTGTAAAAATACCCATTTGTGAAACCAGGTAAAAGCCAGCTCATTCTTTGGAAGTGGAGTTATGATTTCCAACAGGAACAATGGGTGATTTAAGCCTCTATAATCTAACAAATTTTGTCCCTCAACACCATCATTCCCAAAATATGAGATAAATTAAAATTGGGGGTACCTCAATCTCAGGGAAATTGGAGCTTTTGAGCTTCTGATTTAGAGAAACTGCCTGGCTCTTTTTCTATGAAATATGTTAAGATCTGTTGGCTTAACTCTTACACTTATCATTTTTGTGAGATATAATAGTAATTGAAGTATAAATTCATATTTTAACATTCTAATTAAACTATACAGAACAGTACATCACATAATAATATGTGATATACAGAATTCTGTATATGTGATATACAGATTCTGTATATGCAATATACAGAATAAAAATGTGTGTACAAAAATAATTCTTAAAATGACAACAGACTATAACAATATAACCAAATGAAATATATATATATAAATATATATATAACTCATGAAGATATAAAATCTACTGATAGTCAATTCCAGCTGAACAAATAGGGATATGAGCCTGCATTTACAGCCATTTGTAGTGTCATGTGGTAATATGACCATGATTTACTACTTGTTTCTGGCAAAACTTGTTCTTTGCAGACAATACATTCGTTTAATGACCAGTGTTTAATTAACAGCTGCAGTGTTCATTTAACAACTTCAATGTTTCACTTAATTGACACCAGAAAAATAGTCATAAAATCAGGCACGGTAACATGCTGACTCACTTAATGAATGGCACAACTTACAACAGTCAGTCTGGACTCAGTTATGGTAGTACGTCAAGGACTATCTATATTTTCAGCCCACCTACCCCCACAGGGATGTTGCTATAGGAAAAATAGGAGGCAAGAACGCTAAGTACATTTGCCGTAAAATATATATTTTACAAAAAAAAATCAGGGTAAAAATAACATCAAGAACAACAGTTTTGAATGTCTTCTGATAGTTAAACAAAATATAAATATTTTTAATACTAGAAGAGTAGCTGGTACAGTAAAACAATTCATATTACTTCTATTATTTTTAATGTTTCTTCTAGATATCATTTTGATTTACTGTTATGTAAAAGCTACCATCAGTTACAAGGCTATACTGTCATTTTATTCTTAAAACCTGTATGTGTCACTTGTATTGCACATGAATGTCAAAATAAAATCTTTATCTACTACAAAATTAATATGATGTCCAGGTTTCAGGTAGTTCATATTCTTATTTTATTCTGGAAGAATATATTAAATATAAGGAATTAAACATATTGACAAAAGTTTAAAATAACTGCAGTGAAGAGAGAAGGCTTTTAACTAACCCAAAATTTATTGTTATGAGAATTGAGCAGGATTGGAAGTTTTTTAGGCTACTAGCAGGAGAGGATCTCAGTGAATGGCTAGAATTGAAAGGTATTAAATCAGAACAATGAAAATTCTTATCTGATTACATATATTTAGATGGCAATATATTATATGTTCTAAAACTATGATTACCTTTGTTATACATAGTTTACTGCTACAGTACATTGCAGTATAAACTTAACAGTGAACACAAGCTGGTTTCTATTCCTCTGAGTAGTAATATAAATGAGAATTTTTGTCCACATGAATCTCAGTAAATTTTAAGAAGTTTCTAAAATGTCCCAGAGAACATTTATTAATCATTCTGATTTTTCTTGTATTATTTATATAGTTATTTTTATTTACTTTTATTTACCTACATTTATTCCATGCTAGTATTGTCTATTCTGTCTATTGTCTATTCTATCTGTTTATTTGACAGATAGATAGATAATGGATGGAAAGAGAGAGAGAGAGAGAGAGAGAGAGAGAGAGAGAGAGAGAGAGAGAGAGAGAGAGAGAGAGAGAGAGAGAGTGGAACTTCTTTCATGCCAATGGACAGGAAATTGCTTCTCCTAACATTAAAAAATTGATAAACAGAGGAAAATTGTGCTTTTCTATTCAGAGGATGAATACCTCAGATAAATACCTCAGATTATTAAATACTGAAAACAGGAAGGCAAACATTTTATGTACTGTAGAAAATTGTATATTTGTAATAATAAATGCATGATACAAACAAACAAAATATACAATCAATATACTAGCTGGATCTCTTGACTGGACTGTAATTCAACAGGTACTAGAGATTTCTGAATGACTGTAATTAGCTTAAGTACATTCTAATTGGCAAATAATTTGTAATAAATTATTTATATATCAAAAAAGATTTGGCCTTCTTCATATTCCTAGTCCTATACACAGTCTTATATTAGAAAAAAATCAGATGTCCATGATTTTATACTCAAAGAATTTAAGATGAAACCAAGAATAGTCCGAGTATAAAATCATGGACATCTGATTTTTTTTTTCTAATATAAGACTGTGTATAGGACTAGGAATATGAAGAAGGTCAAATCTTTTTTGATATATAAATAATTTATAATTCCTGCCCTACCCAGAGGTTATGGAAATTGGAGCTGTAATATTTTGCATAGAAAGCATGCACTAATCGTGCATATGCTTACATACATACATACATACATACATACATACATACATACATACATACATACATACATACATTCTAGGTCACCAGGAGAGTCAACAACTGGTATAGAAAAGGAACAGACAGACTAATATATGTCATCAACTACCTGTCCATTAAAGGGTATATTTAAGAAATGCACTTCAACAGCATTCCTCTGAAAATCTGAATATTTACTAACATGACAGTTAAGAGGTGTTAATGAATGATTCATCCTTGATATTTGTATAGGCACCACTAATTTAGTGCTACAGCTCTTCATACAAACCATTACAAACAGTGTGATTATATTGCCCATGCAAGAACAGGTGGAAGAGCTTGAGAAAATAATTTTACTTTGACTATGTAAATACATTTATGCAAATTGTCATCTACATATTCTTTTTGCTAAGAAAAGTGAATTATTTGTATTCAGTCATCCCTCATTCTGAACATCAACTCAAAATAGTTATTTTGAATAGAAAAAACAAATTATTTGGGAATAGAAATAAATCTTACCACTCCAATTGAAAAGTAATTATTGATGATGCTGTAAGGCACGGGATCTCCTTTTTCATCTTTATCATTAGGTATGACTTCAAATTTCCACCTGTCCAGTAAGATTTCAGTACTGTTCTCAATATCTTTTAAAATCTTGAGAAGATTTTCCCCTTCATATCCTTTGGAAAAAGAAATGAAGCACAGTAATTTGAAATGGCAGATTTAAGAGCCAGGACACTGTCTCACCATTAATACATGAAAGATGCATTTAACCTAGGCCAAGCCATTAGCACCTATCTGTACCCCCCAGTTCTGCTTTAATGACTTGCCACCATTTCAGCAGTGTGGGCAAAGACACTGGAACTGAAAGTACAGATTTAGCATCTTGTCCCTAATTAGGTAGTTCCACCATAATGAGTTGAGAATCAGCTATTACACTGCAAAACATAAAACAAAGCAACTAGCCCACCACAAATTTTATTAATAATCACTTGGCTCTGTTTATTGCTGAATAATTGCAAAATAATCATCTGCTATCTTAATTGCCCAATGCACAGTAGCAGTAAGTGGGTGAAGAAATGGTAGCAGTACTGAACAAAGGATATCAAAGCAAAGTGCATTAATGCATTATGTTAAGGAATATTCAACTATTATTCCAACATAAGATTTCACAGAAAAAAATAGGGACTTTGCTTCAATGGATATCAATATCTATATATCAATAACATGATTTGGACAACTCTGTCACTGGTCATGGGTCCTCCCTATCAGAACATTCATACTCAATACGGAAAGAAAGGCCCAATCATGGAATATTATAGCTGGATCAATATAATGATATTAACCATATAATCAAGTTAATTTTAAAATTAAAACAAGTTTAATTTTAAAATATCCATAAATATTATCATGAATCTAAATAAACTGTTTGAATTTAGAAATACAACTTTTCTGGATGAGTTAATTCCTCATCACTGGGATCTGTTGTGTTGGCACATGATGCTCCTTTCAGTTTGCAAATTGACCAATATTTATGTGTCTGTGAGCTGTATCTGTATATGATTTTTGAACATGCCAGATAGCCAGCTTTCCCAGTCTTTGGTAACAGTCTTGTTATTATATTCATATGGGATTGAGGGATATATATATCTGTCTTTGGATATTCGGGTTTTCTCCCGCGTAAAATTGGAAGTGTCTTGGCGACGTTTCGACGAGGTCACATTCGTCATCTTCAGGCTGGTGTCTTCAGCTTTGTGCTTCTGGGAGTAGTGTGCGATCGCAGCTGTTTCTTCTTTTTAACTGCCAGTGGGGTTTGAGCTGATTGGGTGGGAGCTTGACTGTGTTCTGATTGGGGGGGAGATGTGTTCTGATTGGTTAAGGAGCTTGGCTGTGCTCTGATTTGATGGGGGGTTGGCTGTGCTCTGATTGGATGGGGGAGTGTTCTGTTTGGGTGGGGGCTTTGTTGTGCTCAGGTCGAAACGTCGCCAAGACACTTCCAATTTTACGCGGGAGAAAACCCGAATATCCAAAGACCTACATACAAACACCCACGAAAACCTCATAAAATATATATACATACACATACATACACATACATACACACACACACACACACATATCTTTCTGTTTATCCTAAGTTATGGATGTCTTTAGTATTTCATTTCTGTTATGTAAAGGATACAGGTACATATATTTCTGCAATAGTATATATTTATTTTCTAAATGCTCCAGATGTTATCATAGCAGCCAGTCCTACCAGTCAGCTAGCAGTGCTTTTTTTGTAAAAAAAAAAAAAAAAAAAGTGCCGGAACTCACACACGTTGTACAACCTACCTTGCCTACTCTACAAGCTTCCATCCAAAAAAGGTGCCAGAACTCTGTTCTGGGCGTTCTATGACAAAAAAAGCCCTGGCAGCTAGTATACAATTTGCAAGTTCTATGCTCATAATCCTTTATGCTTCTCTTGATAAATAACAGCTGGTATCTCTTTGCTCATGCTTAAGCCTCTTACAATGTCTTTAATAATAATAAAGTTGGAAGGGACCTTGGAGGTCATCTAGTCCAACCCCCTGCTCAGGCAGGAAACCCTATACCATTTCAGACAAATGGCTGTCCAGTCTCTTCTTAAAAACTTCCAGTGTTGGAGCATTCACCGCTTCTGGAGGCAAGTTGTTCCACTAGTTATTTGTTAATGGAAGCAAATATCTTTTGAATGTGGAGATGCAGGAAGCCCATATACAGTCTTATAGTCCTTGTTTCTCACAATAATTTTAATGGTGTTTATGTGAATGTGTGTATGCTTGTGTTTGTATATTGATGAGTACTTCTGTTTGTATATTAATCTACATAGATACTGGTGTGTAAAAGAGGAGCAACCTAATGAAGGAAAGAAAAATTGTAAGGGTTTGTTGCCCTTAAAAAACCCAAATGCTGTTACTCTACATCAGTCTTTCTAACAATTTATCTAATACCATAGTAAGAATCCGGACAGGCAACGTTTCTATCAATAACACTTTCTATGTAATGTGAGAGAGACTGGCCATTTTTTTTCATACCTATAGTAAACCATTATCAGGCTTAGCCCAAGAACAACATAGAACTATCTATCCAAAGTTCATTTCTATATTTGCTTACAGATAAGAAACAGAATCTTGCCAGACGAAACCTATATTACTAACGGATATATCCTAGAAGATTTTAGGGAGTGGCTATTCTAACTCTTTTCACCTGTTTCTGATCCAGCTTTGGACTGGGTTGTCTTTTGTCTTGTTCCCTCTCCTTGCAATGTGCTCCCACCTTCTGGGGAAACTACCACTTCGGTGTAATCCATAATCCCCTTTCATAGACATAATCCATCACAACTTCATCTGAAGCTAAATAAGATTTTAAAGGAATGTTTTGTTTTGACATAAAAAACTATTCCTCAAAAAAAACAAACCAATAGAGAAGAGCAGCTGGATCTTTTATATACACATTTTGCTGGGCCCTATTCTGCACACACAATCTATTTTCAGGAAACTATTTGTATGTTCAGCAACATTTTTTTTGTAGTACTCTTTGTATTAGTATTTATAGCACTTTTGGTGGAAATAATAGAAAAAGAAGACAGGGAAGAAGCAAGACATTTTTTTTGAATGTTTTCCAATGCTAACAATTGTTTTTTTCGGTAATGAGGGAGAAATTTTCTAAATCTTTACCAAGGAAGCATTCTGTTTTGTTGAGATTTTTTATTTCAAATGTAAGAATAGTCCTCTACCTTTAAGCAGGCTCCAGTTACATGATGCTATGAAAACATACAACAGCCGTCATATCATTATTGGGCATTATCCTGAAAGTCTCTATCATATTACTGATTTTTTTATTGAATTTAACAATATAGTTTCAATTGTATGTATGTACACAATGGTGTTTTTGTTGAATAGTGGAGGGAAAAAGACAAACTGAGTACATTGTTTCCTATTATAAGATGCTGAATTAGAATTGCTAAGCAACATATTCAGCAGTAATGAAGTAAATTCAGTGTATGCTAAAGGTTATTTGTTTAATAATTCATAATCCATGCAAAAAGTCTGTGTCACTGATAAGGGAAAATTACTTACCAGCATAAAAAATTTGTTGTTAGCCTTTCTGCTCTCCAATCCTATGAAAAGTTTCAGAGAGAAAAAAATCAGTCTTGTGGTATCAGCTACCATAGGGAAGGAGGTGAGAATTGTGAAAGAATTTTTCTATGATTAACAATGGACTTGCAAAGTGACTGAGCCCTAATCCAGAATGGATAGTCCATGAAAAAAAGAAGTTATGGGATTTCAGTAATAGCATGAGAGAACATGGGTTCTGAAAAAAATTAAATTAGCATCCTTTATTATGTGGCTCCACTTTCTTCTACTCTGCAGAAGATTCCTGACAATCAGGGAAAGCAAAAAGAAGTTCTAATGAAGAGCTTAAGGAACACAATGAATAATGTGGGTTTCTGTATCCTAGTGGTAAAATAGTGTGTACCCCACATAAATGTAATTGACTTTAGTAGAATATCTTAAATCATATCCATATTCAAGAAGTACTTTTGCAAAAATCTGAATAAAAAAAATGTTGAAGTTCTCCTTAGACATCTATTGAACATGTGAGCTGAAATATTTGCAACTTAGTTATAAGTGACACTTTTCGGTTATAATGAATAAATCACAAAATAGAACATTAGTAAGTATTAAATGTTTGACGGCTTCTTAAATATATTTTATAGATGTAGAATGTGCATACAAAATGAGTGGCACCTTATATAAGAATGGCAGGATATTTTAAAGCTTTGGAAAAGTTAGGATTTTTAATTCGAATTCTTTAGAGTGCAAATGTTAGATCAACTATTTTAGGCAAATGTATGCATTGAAGTTCAAACATATCCCTGAACTGAGTAGTTACAAAAATACTGTAAATGAAGTGGGTTTTTGTTGATGGTGTTCCTAGGAGGAGAGACTCAAAGATTTAATGTGCCATTGATCTCAGACACAGAAAGCTAATTGCAAAATTAATTAAAATTAATTTAAGTAAATAACCCAAATTTGTTTAATATTTTATTGGTTTACTAAGATTTAACAGAAGTAATCTGAATTGGGCAGTCAGCAGAAACTAAATTTCAAAAAGAAAAACGTTCAAGAAAATGCTTCAAATTAAGCAATGTAAGAAATAAAATGTTACAGATTTTGTACAAAATTGAACTCAGCCTGAATTAAATGCTGCCTTCTAAATGAACTCCACTTAGTACAATAATGAGGTCATCATTCTAATAATTATGTTCTATACCAACTTCTACATATAGCATTTACAAAAATAATATCTCTTCTAAATATCCTTTATTTCCAGGAAAATAATTCATAAGATGTGAAATAGATGTGAAAACAAAAAAGATCAAAACAAATTAGAGTGATTTTATTTCCTTTTCAAAAATTAAGAAAAGTATCTTCAAGACATATTCTCCCAAATTTCCATTCATAAGTTATTAAGACTGATTAATTAAGAGTTAGTAAGAATAACATGATTTCTCTTGATTTTGCTTTTTTATTATTGGAAGTTTGGAAAACAAATGTTAACTTCAAGAAAACTATATAAAATAATTAATTGGAACAAAAATTTATATGTGATAAGTTAGAGTTAGAAAGACAGTTAAAAATATTTACAAGGAGAAGATCCAAACATGCATAAAGACCATGATCGTTAGCAGGTAAAAGTAAGAGATGAAGAAAGTGTCAAAGACCTGCTATAACGACACAGAACTGGTGACATAGAACTAGAGACACTACTGCACATGGAACAACTGATTATATAGTGGAAAATGCTTTTTAAGTTATGGTTTATTTTTTTCTGAAGCTGTTAAAAACTAATTTTAAGGCAGGACAAAGGAATACATAATACTAACTGTATCAAGTACAACTAGATATGTTAGATATAGCCTTATTAAGAATGAAAGTGATACTAATTTCCTACGAAAGCAAGGAAAAAAATCCTTGTCTGTCTCAAAAGGTTCCATTGTTAATCAAGATGGGAGCTCAAAAACTGTGAGGACACAATTCCATAGACAGGTCCATGCCATCCTAATCCATTTTTCAAAAAAAAAAAAAAAAAAAGCATAGTAGCTCTGAAGGTACGTATAGAATTGTAAGATGAAGTAATCTGATTCTAAGTTGTTTATGTTTTATCATTTTGAAATCTCTGAATAATTTACATAGGTTTTTAATGGTTTCATTAGCTAATCAGGTACATGCTTTATTTTAAGAGGAGAAAAATATACAAGTTCTCTTAAAAGTTAGAACAAGCACAAGAGAAATTAAAGCAATACATAAGATGTTTCAATGACAGGGTTCATTAAAGCAGCAATAAATTATGAATTGGAATCTTCTGCAGATAACCATAATAAAAGTATTTTGGTACTTCTCTGGCATCTTAAAGTGTCAGAACTTACAACATCAAAACCTCCTGTTTCCTTGGCTTATCTTTATATAACATCTTGGGGAGGTTTTCATTCTCCTTCCTTCCGTAATCTCACAAATCAAGTACTGAAACAAGAAAATAGATCTGGTCTTCATATTTTGAAGAATGGAGACAAGGTTACAGGAGGCTTGTTTTAAATGAAACACTTTTTAATTGATTCTTTGCCTCCATAGATCCTGGTAGAGAGCACCATAAGACTGATTGTCTGAAATCTAGCGCAGGATGGGAGAAGAAGGAAAGAACTTGCTTTGAAAGATACCCAAACATTTACAAATACTTATAAGTAAATTACGTTTGAGATCAAATAGCAATTATTTAGTATATGAACAACTCCCCCTTAAGAAAATAATATATAGTTCATATTTTGATATTCTTTTACTATATCATACTTCAGTGAAATAAATCTTCTTGACTTCTTCACCCTATGCAAATAACATATCCAGAGGAATAAAAATGTGGAAAATCATATCCATTGGTCTCAGGTTATAAATATAGGAATGCATGAATATTTTATATGTCAAAGATGAGAGCAAATTAACACGATTTACCTACTCTCCACATATAAATTCTTTCAATAGGTTATCTACTAAGAGGACTTTTAAAGTGACATTGTTAACTAGCAACAGAATAAGATCACTGATGTAATGCATTGTTTTTCTATAAAGTGGATTTTTTGCTGATGAAATGAACACATTCAGCTTTTTTCCCAATTCACAAAGTCAATCACGTTTCCTCACTCCAACTATAGCTATGTAAGATAATGCAAGGCATTCTGGGATCCTAAAAATCTTCCAGCAGAATTACACAAAGTCAATTAGCATGACAGGTACTGAGACAGGTACTTATAGTTGCTAACAATTCAGATTCCTTAATTGTGATCCAATGAATTTCTACCAAATTGCAATATGTTAAATACCAGATCATAAAGAATTTTTAAAAGAAATATATTTAAAATATTTACAATGATATAGTTTTACATATATGATGCTTTTGTGGAAAAAGAAATGAATGATTAAAATGTGAAAATGGATAAAATAATCACTTTATATTTTAAGTAGGTTTATTTTTATTTACCTCCTCCCCATCTCAGACATCTGGCTAAATCATTCCCCGTTCCAAGAGGGAGAATAGCAACAGGAGGATGCTTAATCAAATTTGCTTTTTCTGTAAATAAAAATTGTAGGCATAGTTTAAGACAAATAGCAGATGAGGCAGCACATAGATATAACAATTTACTATATTAATATTGTGGTTAGATATTGTTTTAATAAAAACTGGGTCCTTAAAATCTATCAACACATATCAAATGAGAAGGAATTTGCCAGTAGTCTACAAGAGGAAATTACTATCTCTCCAAAACTATTTTTTATCATTTAGGATATAGTAGATTATGAAACTAATTATCATGAGCTAAAATCAATGGGGGGAGGGGAAATCAGTGATTATGATAATTGATGACTCACAAAGATAAATGTACCCTAGCAATATATTGCATTTTGGATTGAGAACTGTAGATTATTTATAAGACAGTCTATGATAAATTATCAGTGTTTCCATTAGCCAAAGACCAAAGCATAATAGATATCAGTGAAATTATACAGAAATTAAGAAGAAATAGAAAACTACTGTAGATAAACAGCAGTATTTAGTGCACAGCAGAAGTTAAAAAGCTTTAAGCTGGTCCTATTTTGTAATGCACAGTTCATTTGCCACTGACAGTTAATGACCACACAGAATTCTTGCAGCTTTATATTACAACTTCCTTATATGTTCCCATTGCCTGGGCATTGATTGGCTACGAATCCATAATCAAGGCATTTGTTAGGAGCAAGAGGTGGTTTCTTTGCCATCTCAGTAGCATTTCAGACTTCTTAAAGATTTCCTTCCCAGTTCAGCTCTCTAAATTGTCTTGCCATAAAAACATGCATTGATTTTTTTTTTGGGGGGGGGGGGGGGGGAGAAAGCAAGTACAGTCTTGTCATCAGCCACTGATTGTATCATCACTTAGAAGAAGAATATGAAATAGAATGCATTCTATATTATAAAAGCAGAAGAAGATGAATAGAACAGAACAGAACAGAACAGAACAGAACAGAATAGAATAGAATAGAATAGAATAGAATCCGGAAGGGACCTTGGAGGTCTTCCAGTCCAGCCCCCTCCTCAAGCAGGAAAATCTATACCATCTCAGACAGGTGATTGTCTACTCTCTTCATAAAAGTCTCCAGTGATGGAGTGCCCACGATTTCTGGAGGCAAGCTGTTTCACTGGTTGATTGTCCTCACTGTCAGGAAGTTTCTACTTCATTCCAGGTCGTTTCTGTCTTTGATCAGTTTATAACCATTGTTTCTCGTCCCTCCCTCTGGTGAACAAAGTGACCCCCACTTCCTTGTGGCAGCCCCTCAGATACTGGAATAATGCTATCATGTCTCCCCTATTTCTTCTTTTCTTTAGACTAGTCACTAGCCAAACCCAAGTCCTGCAGCCATTTTTCATATGTTTTAGTCTCCAGGCCTTTGATCATCTTAGTTGCTCTTCTCTGAATTTTTTTCCAAACTCTGTACATCTTTTTTGTGATATGGTGACCATAATTGGCTGCAGTATTCCAGGTGTGATCTTACTAGGGTTTTATAAAGCGGTATTAATACTTCACGTGATCTTGATTCTATGCCTCTGTTTATACAACCCAGAATTGTATTAGTGTTTTTGGTTATTGCTGCACACTGCCGGCTCAGAGTCAAGTGATCATACAAGGACCCCAAGGTCCCTCTCGCAGTTACTATTTTTAAGTCAATCTGTATTTGTACCTTTGATTTTTCCTGCCTAAATGTAAAACTTTGCTTTTCTCCACGTTGAAACTCATTTTGTTGGATAGGGCCCATTGTTCAAGTTTGTGTAGATCTTTTTGGATCCTCAGTTTGTCTTCTGGGGTGTTGGCTATTCCTGTCAGTTTGGTGTCATCTGCGAATTTGATGGGTTCACCTTCAATTCTAAGTCATTTATGAAGATATTGAACAGTACTGGGCCTAAGACGGAACCTTGTGGTACCCCACTGCTTACTTCTCTCCATGTGGATGTAGTGCGATTGAGGACTATTCATTGAATATGGTTTGTCAGCCAGCTACAGATCCATCTGGTGGTGATGTTGTCTATTCCACCTTTTCTAGTTTACCAAGGAGTAGGTTGTAGTCTACTTTATCAAATGCCTTACTGAAATCTAAGTATACTACATCCACAGCATTTCACCAGTCTACTAGTTTAGTCACTTTATCAAAGAATGAAATAAAATTGGTTTGGCATGATCTGTTTTTAACAAACCCGTGCTGGCTACTGGTTATGACTTTGTTTGCTTCTAGTTCTTCGCTGATCTGTTTTTTGATTATCTTTTGTAGGATCTTCCCAGACATTGATTAGTCTGTAGTTTCCTGGGTACGTTTTTTTCCCTTTCTTGAAGATGGGAACTACATGATCCTTTTTCCAATCCTCAGGTACTTCCTTGGTGCTCCAGAGTTTATGAAAGATGTAGTACAATGGTTCTGAGATAACATCTGCCAGTTCTTTCAGAACTCTGGGATGTTATCTGTTGGGTCCCGGTGATTTATATTAGTCAAGGTCGGATAGGTATTCTCTTACCATTTTCTTATTTTAATTTTTGTTTCTAGTATATCTTTTGCTGTGGGTTTTTTTGGTATGTTGGGCTGTAATTTCTTTTTGTATAAAGACTGAGGCAAAGTATGAGTTAAGCAGCTCTGCTTTCTCCCTATTGCCTGTTATTTCCTTGTCATCTATCTCTTTAGTGGGCCTACAGTTTCCTTGACTTTTTTCTTGTTGTTAATATGTTAGAAGAAACTTTTTATTCTCCAGTACAGGAGACGGAGACTCCACCAATGGGTTTTCTTTGTCTGCCTGCTCTTGAGACCAAGTATCCAAAACTTGTCACGCCCCCTCCTACTGGTAATCCAGTCTTAACTTGGTCTCCGCTCTTGATGACTCGTTTTGGCTTGGCTCTCAGCTAGATCAGATTAGACAATTAATAATCCATTGGTGAAGTCTCCCTCAAATATTGGCTATCTCTAAAAAAATTCAATTCTTAACTCAGGGATTAATGCAACTTCCCTCGGGCTGATAGCAGCTTGTGGGAAGTGAGGGGTGAAGGGGGGGGTGGAATTTCCCTTCCTTCGTCTCTCCCAAATCTCAAAATAAAGTGGGGGGGGAGGTAGAAGGACAACAGAGACAACTTGTTGACCCTCTCCTCCACCTGCCCAGTTTTCTCCCTCAGGGCACAGCAAAGGCCCTGGCTTCTCTCAGGCCTTCTCAGGCCTGTTAGGGGCCCGTTTAGCCGTCCGAAAAGTTGCGGCCGCCATTTTGGCTGTAATTTCGGCGGCACAATCCTTTAGCAAAAACTCAGAAATTTTGCTATTTTCTCTTCAGGCTGCCTTTAGAAACAAGTTCACAAGGCCCTGTTGAATCCTGACTCCCCCCAGGCCTTTCTCAGGCCGGTCGGAGCCGATTTAACCACTTGGAAAGTTGCGGCCGCCATTTTGGCTGCAATTTCGGCGGCCGAATCTTTTTGCAAAACCAACAAGATTCTTTCCTTTTGGCCTTAAGGCTCCTGTTGGGACGATTTTCCAGGGCCCTGTTAGACCCTGACTCCCCTCAGGCCTTTTCAGGCCGGTCGGGGCCTATTCAGCTGATCGAAGATTTGCGGCCGCCATTTTGGGTGCTTTTTTCGGCGGCTGATTTCCTTGTTAAATAAAGAATTCAATCCTGCCCTCGGCTGCAATCTTTAAGGCAGCGATTATCCTGGCTCCTACGTCGCCTAGGGGATCGCTAACTGGCCTCTCAAGTGATCGGAGGCCTGTTTTAGCCTCCTGTGGAGTGGCGGCCGCCATCTTGGCGGCAGTTGGGGCCACTAGATAACTAGCGCTCATACAGTGGTGCTTCCTCAGCCCTATATCCGGTGTTCTGACGGAGGATTAAAATCCTTGGAGCCCTGTTTCAGCCCTCAGCAACGTTACGCCCGCCATTTTGCGGGCAGGCGCCCGGCATTTGGTATTCTTATTCTCAGCCTCTTGCTGACCAGTGCTGAGGGCGTGGCAAGGTCCTGAGGGTTCAGGGCCACACGCACAAGAACGATTGAGGCAGGATCATCTGGGTGGTGTTCGTCTCCTTCACCCCGGTAGCCGCCATCATTTAAATTGTCCAACAGGACCTGAGAATTTGGAGCTGATTGTTCTGGTGTACATTGCCTGGTCATCTAAGGCCTCCGGGAGGAGCCCAACAGGTGGTTCCAAATGTGCCTTCGGCTCTGCCTCAACTACCGTGACCATAGTCCAGAGAGAATTTCATTGGTCGGGTGACCAGGGGGGCAGTCCGCGCACTTGCTCCAATACCGCTTCTGCCAACAACTTGCCTGCTTTAGGTTCTGAGATAGCTCAAACGGGATGGAAGGACCCTCGCTGCCCCAGTCTTCAGGCACGACTCCTCCGCCTCCCGGTTACGGCTGCAATCCCCCTTCTGTCCAGAAGGCGGCAGGCAAGTGCAAGGCCAAGACCAAGCACACAATTAAGAAGTCCTCCAAGTTGGTGGAAAAGCAAGCCAGCCATAGGCACCAGGCCCTGGAGAAGGAGTTCTCCAGGGCACAGAGGCATGCCCAAACAAATTTGGATAGCATGGCGGCCACCGAGATGGAGCTACCATTGGGTCCATCGACTTCTAGTCAGGGAGTATGGTCCATTCCAGGCATGCCGGTGGCGTCAACTCTATCCTCCACCTCAGCTGATCATGCCGCCACTTCGGGCGTCACCCCTGAGCCCGTAGGTTCTCCAGCGCCCACCTTACCTAGGGGTCCTGACATAGGGGACATATTCTCGGACGGGCGTCTGGAGGCGTTATTGGCTAAGGTGGTGGATAGGGCTCTGACGCAGCGCTCACGCCCACACGACCTAACAGCTACTAACTTGTCCAATCTCTCAGTGACCTCCCCCATGGAGTGCCTGGCGACCCGAGGGCCTGATTCTCCGAACCAGTCCTCAGGAAGTGGTTACTCATCACCTTATGAGGAGGAACTACCCGAGATTGCCTTTTCAGAAGATGAGGAGCTCCCACCTGAGACATCTTCTTCGGGGGGATTATTCAATCCCAACCATTTTCTAACAATCCTT